GATCACACCTGTGAATAGCCACCTCACTCCAGCCTGGGCAACATAGCGAGGTCCCATCCCCTAAAAAAAGAAGGAAAAAAGAAAAAAGATACTCTCCCAGTGTTTGCAGATTGGCTTTGTCTTAGGAGCCTCCTTTGACCTGTCTCTAGACTCTTTACAACTCTACCTTGGGTTTCACTTTTTACTTGTACAGAACTTGAAGTCTTGCTAGATAGGCTTCTTAGGACTTTTCTGAGCATTTCATGCGCATTTCTGAATTCCCTGGTATAAGCAGAAGCTTTTAGAAGCTCTTATTCCTACATGTATCTCTTCTTCCTACCTCTTCTTTCCCAGGCTTTTTGGACTGCCTATTGTTGTTCCTGGTGTTGTTCTAAGTGTTATTCTTTGTCCCCGGCTTCTATAGCCAGTATTTATGCATTTAAATGTTTTTGCCCAGGGAAGCCACCCTAGCCCTGGCAAAAGCAAAGGGAAGCCTTTTAACTCATCCTTGAGGGATCTGTCATATAGGTTGAGACCCACAACCACCATTTTTTGAGAATAATGTCTGTGTTGTGTCCTAGCAATCTGCACCAGGAATATGGGCTTTAGCTCTCATAGCTGCTGCCTATCTGGGGTGTGGGGAATGGTAGGTAGATTGTTTAAAATTTTACAGTGCCCTCTTACCACAAAGCAGCATTTCTTTCTTCACCAAGCCTTTTCCTAGTTGTAAATTTTGACAGTATTCCATAGTTCTTCAGAAGTTTATTCTGATAGTTTTGCTGGCAGTCAGAATTGCTTTTCGGGATGGATGGAGTATTAGGATTCCCTAATCTGTCATTTTTAGTGATCATTTCAGTGACCAATGGTGATGGTGCTTTTAACAGTGCTCCAGAAGGTGTCAGGTCTCTCTTTTGTCTGCAGTGCTGTTGGCTTTTGGCTGTTGTGCCACTGAACTGAAGAGGGAAGGTAGATGGAAATAACCCTCAGTTAAAACATCACAAACCCTACTGTCTTACTGAGGTTCAATTGTTTCTGTTGGGTAGACACTTTTCAGTGTGTACTGTGGTTTTGATTAATTGCCAAAGTTCTGAAATGGTTGATTTTAGTTGTTCTGTAAATATTTTCATTGTTTTAGAGGGAGAATGAGATCACTGAGGTCCTCACTCTGCCATTCTGGAAGTTATTCTCTCCTCTGGGAAATTTTGAAAGAGAACAGGAGTGGAAAACATTATATAAAGATACAGTGAAAGTTCAGAATTATTTTAGTGGCACATATATAGATCAATGGAATAGATCCTGAAACAATCCCAAGTTCATATGGGAATTCAATGTATGATGGCTAGCATTTCAAATCAGTGGGAAAAAGACATGTATTTAATGGTAAGACATAAAATTCATGAAATTAGATGAATCGTTCGTGAAAATTAAATGAATAAATAAAATAAGTGGAATGCACACTTTATACTAAAGTAAATTCTACTTTAAACATAAAGTTTGAGCTAAAGAATGAGCCTTGATATGTGATACTTAGAATGAATTCAAACAAATGGCTCAACATTCTAAGGCTGTCAATAATGAGAGGGTGTGGTTTTGTCACATGGGGTTAGGCCTGACTACTTTAAAAGGCCCATGTAGGATTGGACATTCAGGAATAGATTGAGTTAATGAAGAAGGTGAGATCTGGCAGTTCAGGATGTAAATGGGTGAACACCGACACTCAGCTGGGCTTCCCATTTCTGTGCATGAACCTGAGACAGCTGAGATGGTCACAAGTGATGTACTTTTTCTAGAATTGTTTTGAGGCAAAAATCCCATGCTTATTAAGAAAAATAATGTTTTCTGAAAGCAAACAAACTTTGATCTTTAGGGAAAGAAAATCTTACGGGTTTATTTTATACAGGCATACCTCACTTTATTGAGCTTTGCCTTATTGTGCTTCACAAATATGGAGTTTTTTACAAATTGAAGGTTTGTGGAACCCTGTATCAAGCAAGTCTATCAGCACCATTTTCCCAACTCAGTTCATGTTTCTGTGTCACATTTTAGTAATTCTTGTAATACATCCCACTTTTCCATTATTATTATATCTGTTATGGTGTTCTGTGATCACTGATGCTACTATTTTAATTGTTTTGGGGTGCCACAAACCACGCCCATGTAAGACAGCAAACTTAATAAATGTGTGTGGTTTTTCTTTAATTTCAAAGTATTACGGGGGTACAAATATTTTTGGTATGGATCACTTTTATAATGCTTGAGTCATGGTTATAAGTATGCCTGTCACCCAGATACTATTCATTGTACCTGTTAAGTAGGTTATCGCTCATCCTCATCCAGATACTGTTTGTTGTACCCATTAAGTAGGTTATCCCCCCTCCTTCCTGCTTGATTTCTGTTAAGTTTTACTTCCCTCTATGCACATGTGTGCTCAAAGGGTTAGTTCCAATTTAATAGTTTTTCCATTCTTTAGATACTTCACTTAGGATAATGGTCTCCAGTTCCATTCTAATTGTTGGAAAAGGCATTAAGTCATCCTTCTTCGTGGCTGAGTAGTATTCCATGGTATATATATACCACATTTTGTTAATCCACTCATGAATTTATGCACACTTGGGTTGATTCCATATCTTTGCACTTGTGACTTGTACTGCAATAAATATTTGAGTCAGGTGTCTTTTTGATAAAATGACTTCTTTTCCTTTGGGTAAATACCCAGTAGAGGGATTGCTGTATCAAATGGCAGGTCTACTCCTAGTTCTTTGAGGTATATCCATACTGTTTTCCATAGGGGTTGTACTAATTTTCAGTCCCACCAACAGTGTAGAAGTGTTCCTTTCTCTCTGTATCCACGCCAGCATCTATTACTTTTGGACTTTAATAAAAGCCATTCTAGTAGGGGTAAGGTGATAGATACCTCACTGTGGTTTTAATTTGCATTTCCCTGATGCTTAGTGACATTGGGCATTTTTTCCTATGTTTATTGGTCATTTGTCCATCTTTTGAAAAAGATGTTTTTGTTCATGTTTTTGTCCACTTTTCAATGGGGTTGTTTGATTTTTTTCTTGCTGATTTGCTTGAGTTCTTTGTAGATTCTGGTTATTAGTCCTTTATCGGATGTATAGCCTGCAAATATTTCCTCCCATTCTGTACGTTGTCTGTTTGCTCTGTTGATTATTTCTTTAGCTGTGCAGAAGCTTTTTAATTTAATCAGGTCCTGTTTATTTTTGTTGTTGCTGTGATTGCCATTGGGGTTTTCTTCATAAATTCTTTGCCTCGGCTGATATCTAGAAGAGTTTTTCCAACATAATACAGAAGATCAACAAAATAAAAAGTTGGTTCTTTGAAAAGATAAACAAAATCGATAAACCTCTTGCTAGATTAACCAGGAATAGAAGAGAAAGGACCCTAATAAGCTCAATCAGAAATGAAAAAGGAGATATTAGAACTGATACCACAGAAATACAAAATATCATCTGTGAATACTATGAAAATCTCTTTGCACGTAAACTTGAAAACGTAGAGGAAATGGACAAATTCCTGGAATCACACAATCTCTCAAGACTCAATAAGGAAGAAATAGAATTCCTGAACAGACCAACAACAAACAACAAGATTGAAGCAGCAATAAATATCTTCCAACAAAAAAAAGCCCCAGACCAGATGGATTCACAGCCCAATATTATCAGACCTACAAAGAAGAGTTGGTACCCATACTGCAGAAATTATTCCATAACATTGAGAAGGAGGGACTCTTCCCCAACTCATTCTACAAAACCAGTATCGCCTCGATACTAAAGCCAGGAAAGGATACTACAAAAAAAGAGAACTATAGACCAATATCTCTTGTGAGTAGAGATGCAGAAATCCTCAATTAAATACTAGCAAACCAAATTCAACAGCATATCAAAAAAATAATCCGCCATGAGCAAGTGGGCTTCATCTCAGGGATGCAGAGATGGTTCAACATACATAAATTGATACATGTGATTCACCACATAAACATAAGCAATAACAAAGATCATATGATCATCTCAATAGATACAGAAAAAGCATTTGACAAAATTCAGCACCTTTCATGATAAAAACTCTCAACAAAGTAGGCATAGAAGGAACATATTTCAAAATTACAAAAACCGTTTATGACAAACCCACAGCCAACATCATACTGAATGGGGAAAAGCCGAAAGCATTCCTACAAAGAACTGGAACAAGACAAGGGTGCTCATTGTCATCACTTCTATTCAACATAATGCTGGAAGTCCTAGCCAGAGTGATCAGGCAAGAGAAAGAAATTAAGAGTATCCTAATTGGGAAAGAGGAGGTCAAACTATTGCTTTTTGCTGATTATATGATCTTATATCTAGAAAACCCCAACGATTCCACCCAGAGACTCCTGGAATTGGTAAAGAAATTCAGCAAAGTCTTAAGGATACAAAATCACTGTATGCAAATCAGTAGTATTCCTGTATACCAATAAATGAAACCAAAGCTTGTGATCTCTTTACTACACACTGTTTTTATTCTATTAGGGATTAATAAATATTCGGTGAGTGAAGGAATGACACAGAGACCCTGAGAGTCTATCAGAGACTCTGTCACTGGGGCATGTTTAGGACATTTGTATATTCATATATTTATTGTTAACTATATCACAGGCTCCCTGTGGCAAACTTTTATTAAATAATATTTTTAATTAGATACTAAGTTTCTGATCTCAATTTCTATTAGTTTAAGGTTGTTCTGTCTTTGAGTTTTTAATTTATATTTTCTGGTTTTATTATTTTGGTGGTAGCTCTGTTTTATTTTATATATCAGCCCTTTGACAGAAGCTGAACCTGAACCATTGAGGATGCAATTATAGATGGAGCCAGTGTTAGTCTGACAGATGAGTATATACCTGAATGCTTACTTTGGTTACAGACTTGAGCTGTGTACGCCGTGAAATGAATCTACTTGCTAAAGTTTTCTAAGATTTAGTAAGAGGAAATAGTAAATCATTGTGGTTTCCTGTTCTCTTTCAGCTTTCAGAAGAATTATTAGACAAATGGCTCTCCTACCCAGAGCACCAGCATGTACCCCTCAGCCAGCATATGCTTGGTTTTGCTATGAAGTCTGTTACACAAATGGTAATGGGTAGTACATTTGAAGATGACCAGGAAGTCATTCGCTTCCAGAAGAATCATGGCACAGTAAGTCTAGGGCTGAATTTAAAATTCACATTGGATAGTTGAGTAATGCAGACTCTTCTTATCAAGAAGAAGGTTTAAGATTCTATAGTATAGAAATTCCTTGTTTTTGGCTAAACAATGTAAGCAAAATAATTGTTGCCTTTTTTTTTTTTTTTTTT